AGGCCAATTTCCTCTCTTTCACCATCCTCCATGCTCATGAAGACGTTAAAAAGTTTTCTCATCCTTATAAAGTGCTATGGGAACTCGCATCGAAAGCTTGCAACACTGGGGCTTGTAAACCCCGCTGAGCGATTCTGCAGTGCTGAGTTCAGTGCTACATCACCCCCAATACCCTCTGTGAGGGTCCCTGAGGGCGATATTACCAACCAAGCACACTGCCATCAAAGCCACGCCAATGCATAGTGACCTGAAATCGGCCGTGGAGAGACTGGTGGGTTTGAAGGTAACCTGCCTGCCAGGCCTTGCAGGTCACAGCCCGAAGCTTACCAAGCAAGGTGGCCAGGCCTCCTGGGACGGAGGTAGGCATCCTTAGGATGCCAGTTAGAAAGGGGGGAAAGATGATAAAGTACAGAGAGGGCATGGTGTGTCTCCCTTCCAAGGAGGAAAATGAAGGCTTAACCCGGGGGTTGGAAACGTTTTTTTGGGAAAAGGGAGTTAAAAGCTAATGGCAATGTGTGGGAGTTTTTTCAGGTAAAACTAATGATCAACTCTGGACCCTTTCACCCAACTCACAGTAAAAATCAAAAGGGGGGCGGGGGAGAGAAGAAGAACATGCACAACATTCAGGAAACTTTGTAAATCTCTTCAATGATTTGTTTTGTTTGCAGCAAGGATCTCGGGGTAGAGAGGTGACGCTGGGATGTAGGTGCCTCGTGATCAGGGGAACTGGTGAGCTGGTAGACAGGTGGGTCTGCTGCCGTCGTTGCTGTTAAGGGCCATCGGGTTAATTCCAACCCACAGCGCCCTTGTGCACTACAGAACCCGTCACGGCCCGGTCTGACGCCATCCTCACAATGGTTCCCATGCTCGAGCCTGTTGCTGCAGCCGCTGTGTCCGCCCAGCTCCCTGAGGGACGATCTTGTTTTCACTGCTCCTCCGCTTTCCCAAACACGCCGTCCTTCAGGGACTGACCCCTTCCGATCCCAGGTCCAAATATGTGAGACCGGGCCTCTCGATCCACCCTTCGAAGGAG